CCATGATTGCTGCAAATTGAATATGCTATCTTTCTCTGGCAGTTTGACAGTTACAGCAACACTACATTGGCTAAAGGACCATATCTGTTTTTCTAGAGCATAACACTATTAAAACAAGAGTATTCCACTGATATAATCAACCTCAAAAAATTCTCCAGATGAAATTTTCTAGAGAGGTGCCTGGTTTTTCTCTTTGCTTTCAGGAAACTATTTTTTAATGTCAGCTTGTTTATATGTTTATTTAATATGAAAAGTAGTATTCAGAATTGCCACAATTCTGATATGCCACAACAAATTACAGTTATCCATGGGCAAATTTAGTGTTCCTCTACTGTAACAATACTATAACAGTTTTCTGTGAAATTGATTATCTGCTATATGCTATTTGCAACCAATCAGTAGAGATACCTTGCCAGAACCAGAAGTAATATTTATATTGCCCCAATTTTAATCATTTTAGCTTGCTAAGATACATAACATTAAATGCAGAATGTTTTGAAATGTAGGGAATAATTCACAATATCTCCTCTGCAACTCATTTATTTATTATTAATTAAAATAAATTTATTAGCCTTTCAGAGCAGACATTTCATAATTTCCCTGTATATACAGTAGGTTAAACAGTTGTGAAATTATTATATTCTATGCTGATCCTAAAGGAGAAAGAGAATGAGAGCAGATAGCCCTGTAGATGTCTCTTGAAACTTTTAGGCTTTCTGTCAGAACAATTTGCTTCAAAATTTGCTTGAAACAAATTGGAAATTGAATTGTTACGGACACTGGTAGAAATACATGTGGATCCAGCTGTCAATATTTTGCATGACATAAATTATAGCTTTTTTCAAAATACAATTTGTTTTAAGCTTACTGAGTCTACTTCAAAAACAACAGCAATATCAACAAGGCATTATAGTATATATCACAAATCTACTTAGAAGTACAGTCCAAGCCTACTTACCCCTAATTCTTATAAGAAAGGAATCCTTCTAATGGCATTATCCTATTTTGTTCAGAATCATTCAATCCCTATTGCAGTTGTAGCTAGGTACCATGTTTTCCCCAAAATAAGACATGGTCTTATTTTCTTTTGATCGCCAAAATAAGCACTTAGCCTTATTTTCAGGGAGATCTTATTATTTTTGAGATGCAGGAGGCGGCGAACAGATTTTTCGGGAAAGGGATTATTTTAACGCATATGCTCAAAAGCCTGATTGGGTTTATTATCTAGGGAGGTTTTATTTTTGAGGAAACCGGGTAGGGCCAAAATTAAGTTAACTAGGCATCACAGTGAAATCAGAAAGCAATGAACAGCTGACATAATACAGCAACCATTAAACCTGGAGAATTTTATAGTGACCACCTGGTGAGTTCTTCCTTTGTTAGAAGTCTTCAAAAAAAGATTTAATGGTGATCTGTCAAAGATGTTTTAGCAGATCTCCGCTAGCTAAAAAATTAATCTCTAAAAATCTCTTCCAACCTTATGGCCTGGAACCTAGCCCAAAATATACTGGAAGTTATAGTTGGACTTCAGAAAGATGCACTGTGTGCTGTTACCCACATGTAGTTCTTTTTTTCTGAGCCCCTAAATAGGCATTTCTCCACCATTTGATTGCTTGGATTTGTAACCTTTGGATGCTAAAGTTTTCTACATGGAGGATATGGCTGAAAGTTTTTTAAGATTTTGTGCTGCAGGACGCAAAGAGTGCCAGAAAGTTGTGCAGGAAGGGGAGTCTTGAAACTCCCTACATAATAGATTCTATTTCTAGCTCACAAGTTCCCAAAAGTTCCTGTTACGTAACCCCAACATTTGGGCTCTGAGCTTTAAAGAGTGAATTTCACCCATTGTGTTTCTATACTTGGATACATAATTGTATGATATTTCAAATTATATGGTTCACATGTTTCCTAAGAAACTAAGCCTTCATCATAATTCATGCTTCTTCCTTTGCTGTAGTATATGTGTTGAAAAACATCCTCAAGAAGACATACATCAAGAGCGCAAAAGTGTTTTTAAAATTTGTTTTCCAATTTCGGCTAAAGAAAAGTCAAGACAGGCTTTTAAACAACTCCCTTTGCCACACAACAGTGATGCTCAATATATTTAGATTATCTTCAGACATTCTAAAAAGAGCTAGAGCAAAGAATGTGCAGGACCCTTAAACTGTCTCAAACTTACCTTCAAAATTATAGATGGTTTTTAACAGGTTTATGACTTTTTGTATGCAATGTTTTCACTTTCCTCTCTATGTAATACTCTTTACAAGTTTGTATTTTATTTTCACAGAGGGGTTACAAAACTTTAAAACTCATAAAATACAATAATTAGTTTTAATACAAATTCAAAAATATTGAAGCAGTTGTTTGTTTTTTTGCAAATGCACAAGAGTTCAACTAAGTACCAATTAGAGTAAAAATCCTATAGATGTTTTTTTTAAATCTAGCTTGCTTTTTGTAATTTTCAAAAAGATCCAGCACTCAATAAGAACTTATCTCTCTGTTCCAAAATTAGGATGTAACATTCTGGAGTATAAATGTACAGCTCAATAATAAAATACAATATCAATAATGATCAATATAAAGTATATAATTCTTTAAAATAGGCAAATAATAGTAAAATCAATCCGTAAAACTGAAATGAAAATAATTTCTGGTGAATAAGACTCAGAGTTACTGCTTAGTATTATCCTGATCATGAAAGTATACTGTTCAAGAACTATGTGGTTTTTATTACAAAAAAGAGATATATACAGTAGAGTAAAAGCCATACCTTCAACTAGTTACTATGAATGCCTATTTTCTGTATTGTACTACAACTTGCAAAAATGCATTCATCAGCTGAAAGCATAACGGATTCTTCATATGTACTAAAGAACGGAAAGTGCCATGTGATCACAGGTTCCTGTGAGTGGCTTTTTTAACTTACTATCAATGTATCATGGTATATGCTTATAGAAGCAGTTATTTTCCCTATACTATCATGTTAGCATGTACTGTAAGTTGGAGCTAACATATTCAGTTTGATAGTTTACATGACATTACCAGAAGTCAAGAAGTTGCAAGCAAATTCAAAAAATTATAGCTGCTGCATGAAGAGATGGTGTCAAGTAATTTCCACATGATGCTTTCCTTAGGCTTTGTTCCAGATCAAATACTGTAGTGTAATAGTGTTGTTTTTTAAAATAGAGATGGAACATAATAGAATTTTGTTTAATGTCTTAGATTGTAATCGGAGTGCCTTCAATTGAAAAGATACTATTGACCTAGGGTCAACTACCTATCACCTCCATTGACAGCTGATCTGGTAGCACCTGATTAAAAGAAATTGTTAAGCTAGTTTCTATAAAATACATGTGGAAACAATTCATGAGAAATTATTCTCTCTGTGATTAAAACATTATCAGTAAGTGGTTTGCATTGTTGTTGTTCCTAAGAGTTTCTAATTTTTGTTATCTTAGATTTCACAAACTCTGGAGAATTTTCAGCAATTTACTTTTTTTAGAGGCTGATAATATATTGTAAATATATTTTATTTGAAAAGTCCTTGCTCTGCTCCTAATCTTGTATGGGTTAATGTAAAGGCTGAAAAAATAGCATCACAAAGGCTGGGAGTATTAAGCCTCTTCATTGATTTTCTTCTTTCTTTGTTGATGTTCATTTCCATTTAGTTATTTTATACTAAGTGGCACAGAAGAAAGTAAGGAATTAATTGTGAACGAATATTATTAAACAACTAAAGGCCAAAAGAATCTAAAGAATGCTATGAAATATTACTAAAGAAATTATAATTTTAGTGGCTTTTCAGAATGGCTCTTTTATTTAAAAGTTAAATAACTAGAAGGTATGCCAGAGGTCAATCTCATCCCACAATTTCATCATGCTACTGGATTGCAGGCTGCACAATATATTTCATAGTAATTGTTTCAGTAGGGTTGCTTATCCCTATATTAAGAAATATTCAAAATCCAAATATAATAACATGTCGTCTGATTAAGTGTTCTGATTTACCAAATGATTTTTAATTTCATTCATTATTAATAATGACAAATTGCAAATATTTGCATAAGCTGGCATTGCACAGAAGCAATGGTTCCAGTCAGGTGTTATTGTTTTTTAATGTTTGCAGAAAGGCTTTTGACCCAGAAAGGTCAAGAGGTAAGAAGTAATATCCCTCCTCCTATGCAACACCCTAACTAGGGTGATTTGTAGTGGGAAGGGATGAAAAAGTCAGAGGAGGGCTTCAGCCACACAGTTGTGGCTGTCAAATTGACTTTTTGACACACACATTCTCTGCAGACCACCTGTCCTAAACTTTTGGCAAACTCTGTAACTTTTTAAGCCATTTTTTTTTTAGGAAAAGGAAGAATGGGAATTAATGAAAGAGATTAAGAATAGGTGAAAATCATATTCTTCTCTCGACGAATTCCAAGAATAAGAGCACTGTGTAAACAGAAGTCCATTCAGGGAATCAGCTACCAAGTCACATCTATTTATTTCAGTTTATAAGATAAACACTATTGGTCCTAGTACTGATATATTCATAAAACCCCAGATTATCAATTTTGTGAAGAAACCAATGTTCAGCCAGTTTGCTTTTCCCTGAATAATTTACAATTCATAATCATATATCTATAATCTCTTTTTATCTATGACATCGTATTAGAACGCAACTACTAAATAATATTGATTTCAATGAGTGGAAGAAACCTGAATGAAACAAGGGTTGTGAAAAATAGGTGGAGCAGAAAACATCCAATCAGGCACCCTTTAATACAAGGAAATGTGGACATTGTAGCAAGACAGGATAGAGAAGACATATTCATTACCAATTTTAAAATTCATCCATTGCAAGGGATAAATTTTTGCTAGTGACTCCTTTCTGCTTTTTTTCTAACCAGAATTTATAAAACATTTGAACTAAGTATAAAATAATATATTGTATGAATATGTACCTCTATATTACTCTTGTCTTTTGTTTCCCTTTTTTATTATTGTTACTATAGGCTGTTCAACCACCTAACTTTGAGATGCCAGTTTCTATCCCAGTGTCCAACCACAACAGCTTGGTATACAGCAACCCAGTTAGTTCATTGGGTAACCCCAACCTTTTGCCTCTGGCCCACCCTTCCTTACAGCGGAATAGCATGTCTCCTGGGGTGACACATAGACCACCAAGTGCAGGTAACACAGGTAAGTTTTGCCCAGTTCTACCTCTTTGCTTCAAACGCAACATTTCTATATCTACAGATTGTTACTTGCAAAGCAAGAGTATGTCAGGGTTCTTCAAAAGTCTATTGATTACTTGCCAATATGAAAGTCACACATTTTTTGAAAAACGAATCTACCATGGATTCTTGTCCAGCTTTTTCAAAAATTGAGCAAGCCTAATATATGTATAGCAGCACCAGATTCTTGGTAGACACATAGCTTCTAATCATTTTTGTAAAGTACGATTGCTTTGTGTGGCATATGTTTATTCTCTGAACGTATGTGTATGTGGATTTCATTGGGGGCTAAGATGTATCCTGGCATGGGTTTTCCAGTTGTGGAAAGATTGACCTCACAATCCATACCCAGAGTCATTTTGGCAGAATTATTATAAGATTCTAACTCTTCTCTCTCATTAAAGCGATAATAGTCCCTTATCCTAAAATGCTGGGCTTTCCGAAGGTTATCCAGCCTTAGTATTTACAACTAAATAAAATATGTTTTAAAGATTCTAAATACTGTAGAAACCAGAAGTAGGTAACATAAGAAGACTATATTTGAAACATAAAAATTAGTGGATTTAATCTCCAGGACACTATTATGCAAGGTCAGTTGAAAAGCATACATGTTCAGGAGGAACGTAGCAGAAAACGTCCTAGTAGGCCACATCTTCTGATTTTCTGATCTTAATCCATTTTATCTTTTATTAAATCTCAGTTAAAACTGTCTTAGAAAATGAGGTTGTAAATTTTTACTCTAGTCATAAAATGCAAATTACCTACTTTTTAATAATAATATTAAAAGCTAGGGAAGGAAATTGGAAACAGAACTAAAGATACTATAGATCATTTGAATCTGGAGTCAAGTGATCAAATGCAACTTCTGAAATAATGTGCTTTATTATTATATCTCAAGACTGTATTTATTTATGTGTTACATTTATATCCCACCTCAATCCCACAGAACTCTTGACAGCTTTGCAGAAAGCAGAAATCATTAAAACATTTGTGGTCCAATTAACATTATATAAAGCCTGAAACCTAACAACACACAAAAGTCGCAAATGTTCCAATCCCAAAACAGTCCCAAATGTCCTGTGGAGGAACTCCCATCTAGGTTCCAGTGGGAGGTGTCTCCTGCACTTCATCTCCCCTCAACTCCCCAAAGTAGGGAATTAACTGGTGCTTTCCCCGAAAGATTGAATAGGACAAGCTGATTCTAATAGATGAACATGGCCCTGACGGTAGGTTGGTGCCAAACCAAAGAAGGCTTTTATAGACCTTGCCCACGTGGCATCAAAATTCAAGAGAATCTAAATAACTTTACTGGCCAAAGGCTGTGTTAACACAGTGGCTGAGGTGAGAAATTCCTTCTAAGTAGAAATTAAGCTACTTTTCCTCCAACCACTTACCCATGTTTCTGAAGTTCTCAGAATTTCCAATCAGGGTGGAAGGGACAAGTCTTTCTAACACATTTGAAGGTCACAAAGGTGGAAAAAGGGATAGGAAAAATCTGTGAAATATTAATGGCTGTATACATTGTCATCACATAAGTTTACAATTATTACAATAGTTCATTAGTTGACAATGTATTATATTAGTTTCTCCATTATAAATTCAGTCAATAATGTACTGAACAACTACTCACTGAAGCCACTAAATAATGCTTATGCTTTGAAGGAGGAATAAGATAATTTTGTACATAGACGGGAGTCTGGGTGGTTTAAACAGCCTGATCTTTATGAAAATTCTGGTGGTGCAAACTCCTCTAGGGCTCACATTACTTTAAGGAATAAACTGTAATTGCTGCTTGACCTTTGTGGTTTCTTCAGCTCCTCTCTCAGTTTGACTATTTTATTTGTCCTCTCCTAGGTGGCCTGATGGGTGGGGACCTCACAACCGGTGCAGGCACCAGTGCAGGTAAACAGAAGGATGTTTTATGTACCTTATTAAAATGGTTACAGAGTCCACAACAGAGAGTTAGCATGAGGCCAGTCCTAAAATAACTCTATATAATGTTATTAATACCAGAATTAGGTTATTCCTTGAAAATCCTATCAACAAACACCTCCTCAATGCTGAGATTTCCCAATTTCCTTATATTTAGGCAGTCTTTTTTTAAAGGAAATATTTTTATGCATAGTTATGCAGATTCTTATAAGGATATTCAACAGATAAATGAAAGAGCTGATTCAAAACTTTTCTTGGAAATTGTCACATGCAAGTATTTATGTTAGTGTGTAGAGGTTTTTGGTGTTATTCCAGAAAATGCTTCAGAAATTTTTAACAAGTGGATTGTTTGCTTTCCACTTTATACAAGGGCATTATGGTTTTACTTTACACTTTTATCCTATCTTGGTTTTCTGGCAACCTAAGTCAAGTGTTCAAAAACAGTATTTAATATAAATAAATGTTTCATAATAAAAATATAACCTTAGAGAATAAAGGGTGCACACATAACACACATATATATATATATATATATATATATATATATATATATA